TGAGGGACAGGTTTATGCCTTGATATGGGTATGAGTTTTCTTCTGCTAAGACTTTTGTGAGGGGATTTGGGTTAACTCAGGATTTGGGCTGGCTTTAAAGTTTGTTTATGTTTAACCTCTGTGCATCATAGGTTTTAAATTCCCTTGGCAATTCCTTGTGTTTAGGATGGGAAACTGGTTTGCCAGAGGGTTTTGTTCCCTCAAGGTCCGCAGTTCAGCTGTTGGGTCCTCCCTCTGTGCTGTCTCAGAGAGGGTCTCTTTCCATGCTGCTGCTGCTCCCTGTCTCACTCCCAGCAGTCTTCTGCCCTTCACTGATGCTTTCAGCCTTTCAGCTAGATAGGGCAGTGGCAAAGCCTTCGCTAGAGTTCTGACTCTCAAGTATGTGGTTTTTTTTTTCTTGCATTTTTCTTCCCTCACTCAGTTGAAATAATTTTCCCCAGTGCCTAAGCAGGACAGAGTGTGCTGCCCTTCTCTTCACGGGTGAAAGGTGTTGCTCCTGATGGAAAATAAGGGGAGCAGGGTCTGGGTAGAGTGGTCAAGAGTTTATCCTTCTCCCTCAGCAGCTGCTGTGACCCTCCCCCAGGTCTACCACAAGGGACGCTTTCTTAAATCCTTCCCCACTCTTTTCTGGTGGAAAACTCCTGGTGAGATTTGTGGAGAAAAAATAGTCCTTAAGTAGACATGGACCTGCCCAATTCCTGCAGCCTCCAAGGGATTCATACTCTCTTGCCAGTACACATTTATCCTGTGTAAATTCACCAGCCATCCCAGCTGAACTCTTTCTCCATGGGGCTAGTGCAGCTGCCTCAGCCAAGCCAGTGCCCACATCTTGTCTTTTTCTGCAAGTCTGTCTCTCCTTGGATTTGACCTCAGAGAAGGAGTTCAAGGAAATACATGAATTCACCTTTTGCCTAGCTTATTTTCTTGTAAGGTTGGGAATGATGCACTTTCCAGCTTTCATATCCCCAAGGAAAAACCAGAACCAGATCTCTTCATTTGACCCATTTCAGTTGAATTCTACATCGTATTGGGAGCACTGACAGTGCCGGAGCTCAGACATGAATCACAGCATATCTTTTCTTCCTGTCTCTATCTTCCTTCCATTCTGAATTTACATGTCATTCATAAAATATTGACTATTTGTCAGCCAACTAGTTGGCAAGCCAAGTAAACTCTGGTCTACTCCTTTGATTAGTTTACTTGCAACTGTTCCTGGGAAATACCTTTCACACTCAAACAACACCTCTGCAATTAGTGGTATTGCCACTAAGCTTGATACAAAGACAAATTTGTGAAGGTCTCACAGTAGTTAATGTGAGCATAATTTTAACAGGAGCTGTCACAGGGCACTGTGGGAGACCGGAGCCCCTTACCCTATGAAACTCAGGGAAGGGGGTTGCTCACACCCATCCAGCAAGTCAGTTCTGGAACTTGCCTCATACTTGTCAGGCCATTTCCTCAGCCACCTGATGCCATGTGACCAGGAGCTAAGTCTGAGAGTAATGATGGGAGATGGGACTGTACTGTAGACTCCTTCAAGGTTCCTACCAGCAGACCTGTGGGCTGAGGAAAGGGAAGTCACCTTGATTCTCCAAATTGGTGAACTCTGTAAATAAAGGTGCTCTGAAATGTGTGATGATTATGTTAGGTGTACTATTTAATCTGTTAAGAGAATTGATAAAGCTGACTTAAAACTTGTTTCAGGCTGGGTGCAGTGGCTGATGCCTGTAATCTCAGCACTTTGGGAGGCCTAGGTGGGCGGATCACTTGAGGTCAGGAGTTGGAGACCAGCCTGGCCAATAGAGTGAAACCCCATCTTTACTAAAAATACAAAAATTAGTCAGGTGTGGCGGCAGGTGTATGTAATCCCAGCTACTCAGGAGGCTGAGGCAGGGAAATTGTGGCGGTCACAGTGAGCCGAGATTGCACCAATGCACTCCAGCGTGGGTGACAGAATGAGACTCCACCTCAAAAAAAACCAGCCAACCAACCAACCAACCAAACAGCCTGTTTTAATAATAGCCTGTGTCACAGGCAAGCCTGGGCAATGTTTTAGAAAAATAGAACATTTCGGTTATAATCTATTAAACTGCCTTACGAAGCTAAAGGCAGAAAATTCACTAGAGCAATGGTTCATTGGCAAAATCTGTCTAAATCCTTAAGAAACACCATAATGAAATATCATTACATCTCTACTTCCAGAGAGCCTCATAGTTTGCAAAGTATTTTTACTTTCAGTATTTATTTAGTTTTTCAGTCCTCATAATGGCCCAGAAATGGGGTAGGGCAGGGGATTATTTCTGTCTGGTTGAGAATTGGGTCTGGAGACCAGCCAGCCTGTCCCTGAATCACATGGCTCACATCCAGTGAAAATAGGTGTCTGGCACCCTTGCTTCATTCTCAGTCTGAGCTGGACCATTTTGCCTTGGCTGGCTGTGCATGTTATTTTCCAGCCGACTTTGAATATTCTCAAGGACCTGATTTCTTTCCTAGTTCATATCATAAGGTCTCATACCTGATTCTGCTCTTCTCACCTGATGTCTGATTCCTACCTGCCTCAATTAAAACTCTGGTCTACTCCTTTGATTAGTTTACTTGCAACTGTTCCTGGGAAATACCTTTCACACTCAACCAACACTTCTGCAATTACTGGTCCTGCCACTAATATTGCTTTCATTAACAACAACTGCAGCAGCCATCATCTGAGTACTTATAACGAGTCAGACACTGAGCTTTCCAGATTTTATCTCACTGAAATTTTTGAACCTCACACTATTCCTATGAAATAATGATTTTCATCCCTACTGTACAGATAAGTCACAAAGAATGTAGGTGACCCTAGCAAATGCAGTTGAAAGAACACGGGCTTGTATTCTGGTTCTGCTATATACTCACTGTGTGGTTTTAGGCTCTTATCTAATCTCTCTGTACTTCATATGTAAAAAATGTAGATGATAATTCCTGCCATCTGAGGATGCTGTGAAGACTAAATGAGAAAGAGCCTGGCACAGTAGGATCTCAAAAAAAAAAAGTTTCCCTTTCTATTTTAGGACTTTTATCTATGACCTCTGGTTTGTGTCAACAAGGATAACCACTCCTGGGTACTGCTATGAAGTGGAGTCTTTGGAATTCCAGATGCCATTTTATAAAAAAGCCATTGTAAAAACTTTTCCTTCTTCACTAAGCATCAACTATAGCTCTGTATATTTAATCAAGGAGAGAGAGGGAGGGATCTTTTCTGGTAGAAGTATAGGAAACCGTTTTAGATTTCAGGGGTGGTGGAGCGTGATGGATGCAGTGATGTGTAAGCATTCGGTTTGGGATCTGAGGGAGTGACCTTGGGAACTAATTGAGTGCACAGACTTGCTCTGACAAAGAAACCCCTGTATTGGCTAAATAATGTATAAGAAGAGATTTCCATCGGGCAATGGGCAAAACGGAATTATTTAGCGTATTTCCATTCCAATGAGTTAATCAAGATAATTGCTGTTTTCCTGGATCTTTGTCTTTTCTTTGTAATTAACAAGGTCCTTGTTTGGAGAAAGGAATTTAGCCAGTGAACTTTGTACAAATCGCTATGACATTTTGGTTTAAATTATATTTAAAAATCGATTACAGATCCGTTTTCTTTGGATTCTGCTAGGACTGTCAGAAACTGATGCTTGATTAAGCTTGAGAAAAACTTCAAGGAGTCAAGTTCATTTGGAATTAACAAACTCAGTGTGGTGTGGGAGATGGGGTGGGATGTAGGGTGGGCAGCAGGGCAGCACTGAGAAAGCCCGAGCTCTAGCATCAGACTTGGACTGTGATCCCTGTTCTGCTACGTCTCACTGTAAGACAGTGGGCAAAGGAGCCTCCAGGGCCTCAGTTTCTTTGTCTGTCAAATGGATAATATCACCCATCCTCGGAGCTGTTGTGTGGATTAAATGTACTGGCGTCGCTCCTAGCCCATAGCTGATGTTAAACAAGGCTTACTCCTTCCCCACCTCTCACATGCTTATTTAAGGGTGACATATTCAGCAATCTCAGTTGTCTGAACCATGGTTAAGACCTCAAAAAGCAGCTTAAGAAAATCTAAGTAGAAAGAGAGATGTTAGCCCATTCATTAAAATATCTCCTAGAGGAACACCCCAGATGTATATATTTAATTTTGGCTAGAATTATAATAAGCTGAACTTCTGGTTCTCTGACCACGCCTCTTAAGAAGTCCTCTACTGGAGCGAGAGTAAAGAAATGAGCTACTTGAGGTGGGCACTAGGACTGAAACAAATAGTAGGTGGAGAAACCCTACCCTTTAGATCCAGAACCTAATAAAGTAATGGTTTAAAATCACTTCAGGCAGGAGCAAAGGGCTCTATATCCTCATTTCCCCACTTCCTAGAAGCTCTCTTCATATTATAGCATAATATGCAATTGTTGTTCCTTATTAATGACCATGAATCATAAAAAGAAGGGTTTTGTTATGTCTGTAAATGTGTTTGAGAAGGGAAGTATGCAGTACACTCCATAAGAAAAGTTCTGTGCAAAATGGTTAATGAAAAGGGGTTTTTTTTTTTTTAATTTGAAGATGTGAGTTTTAATTATGTGGAAAATTCATCCCCATGTGTCTGTTACTTCTCCCCTTGCCACATTTCTGGACAATGGTCATATGAAGATGCTAGCACTTCATCAGGTAAGTACTTTTCATCTACACCATCTCCCTGTGGGATGCTGGGCAGGTATCCACTGTATCCATTCTAAAGATGTGGAAACTGAGGCCAAGAGGGAGTAAGTCCATGGTCAAGTGGGGACTGATGTGCAACTCCTCTGACTCCAAAGCTTATGCCTTCTCCACTAGACCATTTCCTTCCTAGGAAAAATCATGTGGAATATGAACGTATTATAGGTAATGGTTTTTATCCCAAATCTTGAATTAAAATAAAATACTCTATCAATTTACCTCTAATCCTACAATGAATTAATGAAACAAAACCACTGAATGGCCTTGTTCTGGTACTTACTCATAAAATGTTGTCCATCCATTTTCATTGCTTTTGGTTGCCAGAAGGCCAGAATTGCCATGGTATGTCATCATGGACAACTCGTGTCCTTGTGTGGTCACACTCTTGAGTGCACTGTTGGTGCCCATAGTCACCCAGTATACCTGGCCATCTGGGACCACCAGCCAGAGAGGCATCCCAGTAGAGTCTCGGCGGACATTTACCATGTTGCCATTGTTGTCTGTGATGAGTGTGACATCACCATCCCCAGTGTAGGTGAAGTTGTACAGGTAGTCTCCCGTGGGCAGGCTTTGGGTGTACAGGTGCTTGCCAGTGGTATCAAACAGATAGAGCTCCTGGTCAATTGGTGAAGACAGCTCATACATGTTCTGGGTGTTGAGGAAAGGCTTGTTCTTCCGGATAAACCGAATTCGGATATTCCCAAGGTCGGCCACATAGAGCTCGCCATCAGCACACACAGCCAAAGAAGATGGGGTATTCAACTTTGCATCCTTGGCATAACCATCATCTCCAGAAAAACAATCACAGTTGGCATCATTTTTACAGTCACAGCCACTGGGGGCCCCTGCAACAAGTGAGATCTCTCCGCTAGTGGTGACCTGCCTGATGCGGTTGATCTTTTTCTCATCAGTCTCAGCGATATACAGGACCCCGTTGTGCGAAACAGCCAAAGCGGTGGCCGACTCCAGGGTTGCGTGGATGGCCACCTTGCTTAGCAGGAAGTGGTCAATGCCAGGGACCTGGCAGTGCATGGGCCTCCCGGCGACAATGCGCACCTGGTGGTTTTCAGATATTTGCAGGACCACATTGTTGTCCAGGACATAAAGTGAGTTGTCCATGGGGTTGATGGCTAAGTCTGTGGGCCACTCCAGGCGAACCTGACAATGAAGACACCAATACTCAAACGACTGGCAAGATGCCCACTCCTACTCCATCCCATAGCCCATGTAGCCTGTAACAGTGTCTGCAGTGGCTTCATATCGAGTCTTGCTTGATCCTCATGCAGCCTATCATCAACAATGACGTTAATGTCAGCACCCTGATCACCGAGAAACCATGAAAGGGCTGCCACTGAGACAATTGATGGTCTCATTAGAATGACAAAACATGAAGAAGGAGTTAACAACAAAAACAAAATAGTAGGTAAAAGGGTAGACTTTGGAGTCAGATAGGGCTGGGTTCAGTACCTAGTCCGCTACTTATGACTGTGGGCAAGTTACTTTGCCACTCTGAGCCTCAATAGTCACATATAGGAAATGGGAAGGACAACAGCGCAGAGCTCCCTCACCCACCATAACCCACCAAATAATGGCAGCTGATGTTCTACAGATGGGAGGGAAAGGCAGATGGAATGTGGAGGCTGAAGTGGAGTTGTTCAGAGGCTTAGAAAAATTCTTCAGGCACGGTTGATATGATACATGTATCATTCTTTGAGTTCATGGATTCACAGCTGGCTGGGTGCTAGAGATATAAAGACAACATAACCATGGCCTCTGTCTGTCATAGTTCCAGACCAGTGATTCTCAAATCTGGCCTCACATTCAAATTATCTATGGAGGTTTTAGAAAATAATGGTGTGCATACCCCACCCCTGGTGAGTGAAATCAGATTCCTGGGTGTGGAACCTGGGCATGGGCATTATTTCAAAAAGCTTCCTGAGTGATCCTGACGTGGGCTTGAGAATCATCACTGGATCCTTGTTCCTCATGTGTGGTCATCAGTATCAGCTCACCTAGGAGCTGAGCATTAATGCAGAATGACAGGCCTCCCCCAAACCTACTGAATCAGTATCTGCAGTTAAGCAAAATCCCTGGCTGATTTCTGTGCACACTGAAGTTTATGAAACCCTGCTCCAGACAATAGTTTCTAGTACCTCAGAAAACACATCCACCTGGAAGGGATTACTGAAGCTGATAGTAGGAACAAGGTGTTCAGACGTGCTGGGGCCCACATGGAGCCTCCTCTGAGTCAGGCTGGGAAACTGGCATGGGTCATGGTGAGCCTTCAAGTGGGCACCCAGGGGGTTGTAGCTGGCATGGTATAAGGAGAGGAATGTTTTCTTCAGTGGACATGGAGGCTGGATTGTTGGATCTATCACACTGGGAGGTGTTGGCACTAAGGGAAACCCTTTGCCAACTGTGTCCCTAGGAGGTCTGGCCACATTTTGTGTGGGCTGGAAACACCGACAGGTGCACCCTACTGCTGATTTTTCCACCCACCTAAAAATTCATTGCCTTAGACTTCCTGAGCCCCCTACAAACCCTTGATATTTTGTCCAGTTTGGGGCTTTGCTTAAGCAAGTGTATACCTTTATTTTTATTTACATATTTATGTATGTATGTGACAGGGTCTCACTCTGTCACCCAGGCTGAAATGCAGTGACACAATCTTGACTCACTGCAGCCTCCGCCTCCCAGGCTAAAGTGATCCTCCCACCTCAGCCTCTTGAGTAGCTGGTACTACAGGCATGTGCCACTGTGACCAGCTAAGTTTGTGTATATATGCATATCTATTTGCATACATATATATATAAAACATATATGCATATATTAGACAGGGCTTTGCCATCTTGCCCAGGCTGGTCTCAAACTCCTGGGCTCAAGCAATTTGCCTACTGTGGCCTCCCAAAGTACAGGTGTGAGTCACCATGTTTTGCCTAAGTGTATGCTTTTAGGTAAGAAGTTTTTCTTCCAGGAATTTACTAATATACCATTGTCTATAAGAGTGCTTTTAATAATGATGAAGCCATTTATAATAATGATGAAAACTGAGAACCAATTCAAAAGCCTAACAACTGAGAATTGGCTAAATAATAGTACGCTTAGTTTACTTATAAATTAGAATACTGTGTATAGTTGTTAAAAGTGATGCTACAGATGGATATTTAATGACATGGAGAAATGTTTGCTATGTATTAAGGAGAAAGGACAGGTTACAGAACTGTAAGCACAGTGGGATACTAATTGGGGGAAAAAAACAACAAGACGTTTAGCTAGATTATAGATAAAGTGGAGATTAAATGCTTGAGGGATATATATCAAAATGTTTACCATACTGGGATTAAAGGTGATTTTAACTTTCTTCTTCATGATTTCTAACTTCTTATATTTTCTACAATGTAAATGTGGTAGTTTACCTATGTAAAAAGAAACCCCAATACATTATGTATATGCGAGTGAGGCTGCCTCCATCTGTCTCCTTTAGCTCAGGGACATTCTCAGAAGGGCAGGCCCTTTCTCAGTTCTTCAGAGCACGATCTTCAGGTCCTGCTTCCTCAAGTCTTCTTGTCCCCTTACTCCCAGCTCCCTCTGTCCCTGCAGAGCCAGGGAGCCTGCAGACGGGCCAGGGCTGCTGCTTCCTACTCCCCAGTCTCTCTGGGCAGTGTCGTGGCAGCTTTTGGTTGCATCAAGAACATCGTTTGCTCTAAAGTGACAGGGGAATTTTCAATTTCTTAAAACGCACTTCTAGTCAACACTGGCTGCTAAATATTTTATGCCTTCTGGTCCCGTGGCACCTTGGGGACCTGCTTGCAGAGACCTTTTCTGCCTGTCGTTATGATAAAAAGATGGCTCCTTGATGGGAGGAGTGGGGGGTGATAGAGTCAGTGGAGGGAGAGGGGAAAGGGAAGAGAGGAAGGAATGAAGAAACAGTGCTTTCCTACACTCTCCCCTTATGCACAGAGGTGCCTGGGAAAGAAGGGGCATTGCTCTTGGAGTGAGTCCTCATTCTGTCACACTGCCTGTGTGATGATGCTGCACCAGACCAAGTACCTAAGCCTCTGTGGTTTCACTAACCTATTAGCGATAATGATGCTGAGACTCGATTTTCCATCCCCAAAATGAATGGACTACACTTCATAATTTCAGAAGGCTTTCAGCTCCTGCGTTCTATGGTTCCAGTGTGGAATGGGATCCTCTCCCCTGTCCACCTGAGCATTCTGTGCCTTTATTAAAGCACTTGGAGCTGGCTGCCTTGTCGCAGAGTGATTTTCTTGGAAAAATTGATTGTCGAATGAATGAATGAAGGAACGAAGGAAGGACGAGCAAATGGCATAGAGAGAATGAGAGACTGGAGTCAGGACACCTCACTTCCTATTCCAGTTCCACAGCTGCTACTTGTGTCACCTAACTCAAGTTTTTTAAACACTCAACTTCTTTCTCTATATGTAAAAGGGGATAATACATATTACATAGGGTAGATGTGAGGATTAAACAAGACAATGTACAAGGAAGTTATTTGTGAATTTTGAAGGAAACTAGTATTCACATCCTATTACTAGCTGCTGGGCACTGTACTAGACAATTTATTTACATAATTTCATTAAAAAATTCATTTCCATATCCCTGATGGAATCTGGTACAGGGCTCTACACTTATAAATGCCTTTTCTTTCACCACACTGCAGTATTCTTATCTGTAAGATGGATTATGGTGATAGCTAAGTAAGAGAAGAGAAGTTGTACTTATCCTGTACTGCCACTTCTAACAGAGTGCCTGGCACATACTAAGTTCTTATTTTGGAGCCTAAGCAGAGAGTTATTCTCTGTCCGTGGTGGCCATCTCCACTTCTTCACAGGTTGCAACAACTTCCTTCCATTCCTTCACTGCTATGTGCCTCTCTCTTTAGCTTCTTTTTGGGCCTGGGTTTGTCTCCTCCCAAAGGAGCTGGGCTAAGTTCCTTGGCTCTCCCCTTCGCACTCTTGCCTCTGAGCTGTGTGCTCTCTCTGGCTTACCTCCATGCTCCCCAGGGCAGCAGAGTACAGAGGAAGCTCTGAGAATGAAAGCCTGTGATACCTGTGTATATGTGTCTGTAAAAATATATTGCCAGTATTGGATAGTTTGGTTAAAGAAAATCCCATGCTGAGATTCAGACAAAGGTAGTTAGGGCCAGGGGTATAGAGATTTCAGTCCAGGATTTTTGAATCTAAGTGTGGTTTTAGCATTTTTTTCCCCTCCACCATATGCCAGTTGTCTTCCAAGCCTTTGATCGGACTGCTTGGCAGTACCTCTTTCTAAAGTTAACTAATTTTCTGATGTGTGGATTGAAAATTTTCGGCACCCTGTGCTAGCTGGTTGAGGGCCCATTTTGAGAACTGAGAACACTTGTATGCATATCCTTAGGCCACGGCGGCTTCCTGATGGGTAATTCAAGCTTGCTCACAGACCAGAGAGAGAAACTCTCTAGCCAGCAAGCTTTGGTAAGCTTGCCAAAACTGCAAAGACAAGTGGCAGAGAACAGCTTCCATTCTGGAGTGAAACAGTCACATTAGCTGGAGCAGAGGGAAACCATCCCAGCATGTGACGGGGAGGCGACATGAGTGCTGGGGCCACCAGCAGCATCCACAACGCTCTGTGGAAGGATTCAGCAATATGTCAGTAACAGAGGCAGGCATGACCAGTCAGGCTGGTGGCAGGTGCCATTTAGTGGAAAAGGCCGTGTGTGTGCAGGCTTCCTAAAAATGAAGAGGTTTAAAAGCTAAATGTTGCTGGAGCTGAAATCAATTTGCAATTTCATGTAACTCAACACTCCTGATTTCTCAGGTTTTGGTAATGCTGGCAAGACTCAGCACAGGCCACTGATTCAGCAATGGCCTGGCTGGGCCAAAGGATCCAGCAACAAAGGACATACCCTTGCCAAGTCATCACAGGATGTACTAAGGACATGCTAGATAGCCAGTCACTTGTATCTCCTTTTGACCTATACTGGGTTCCTGGTATCCACCTATTAATGTCCAAACTCTTTGGCATGGTATGGCAAGGTACTTCCTTACCTGGACCCAACCATGCTTCCCGTTTCAACTCCAGCCACCAGCTTCTAAGCATCCTATGCTCTGGTTTTTCAATTTTCCCATATGCTTTGAGGGTACCAGCCTCATTAACATCTTTATGGCTTTGCACCTGCTGTTCCCTTTGTGTGAAATGTCTCCTTTTTTTCTTGCCACTCAGCAAACACCTATTCTATTCAACCTGTAAAACTTGCACAAATGCCACTTCCTATGTGGAAGCAGGCACTAGAACTTTCGTTCATTCAGCACCTCTGAAGGGCCAAGCAATGCTAGGAGTCATGCATGCATTGTTTCATGTATCTTCAGGGTAATCTTGTTGGGTTGATGTGAATTATTTCCATTTTACAGATATAAAAAGTGAGGCTCAAAAGACTTTAGAAACTCTTCTAAAGTTACTGAGCGAGTGATTGGCAAAAGCTAGGATTCAGTCAATCGATTAATCAATCGACAAATGTGGACTGTGCTCATATTTGGGTAACCAGGCATGCTGGTTACTGACAGAATTTCTGACCTCATGTAGCTTAGAAAGAGAACAGGCAATGTAAGAATACCCATCAGTGTTACCAAAGAGAAAGTTGAGGTGGCAATGGATTTAATGTCCCACAGTGTAAAGCTCTGTCCATCCTACTCTGCTGCTGTTGAGGTTTCCTTGGGGAGACTTCTTCACTATCCCCTGAAGTTCCACTTGTCACCCCTGATGGTGAACTCCTAGGACATGGCTGTATCTTACTTATCTTTGTGTCCTTGGTGCTCATCACAGCCTGGCACCAAGTAGGTGCTCTTTAAAGGTTTGTCAGTGCAAAGATGAATGGGCAGCAGGCTGGCTGGGAGGCAGATGAGAGGATGAGTGGGCAGTCCCAGGGCTCTGAGATGAAGCCATCTTACCTGGGAAATATCCATGACAGAATCACAGCTGAGCGGCCGGGCTGATGTGAGATCATTGGAACCAAGGAGGGTGGAGATGATCCCATTCTGATCGATGCGTCTGATCATGGTGCCATCCACAAAGTAGATCAGCCCAAACTTGTCTACTGTAATTCCTGCGGGCAGAGAAGCCAAAACAAAAATTCAGCATCAGAGATGACAATGACCTATGCATTCCTGGGGCCTTTCTAGTTGACAGAGCACCTCCTCTACAAGATTGGGTTTGATCCTCCCACAACCTTCATTCCTCTCTCAAGGATGAGGAGTCTGGGGCTCAGAGGCCTTCGGTGACTTGTTCGAAGCAGGGATTAGAACCCAGGTTTTCACCGATCTTATGGGACTCTGGTCCTCCCACCTTGTTGCCTCCTGAGATTTTAATCTGTCACTTTAGCCATCCACTAAAACTGGATTCATAACTTCTGGGGTTTTTAAATACTAGAGATTTAGTGGTAATGAGGATCTTTTTCAATATTAACACTGAATTATTTCAATTCAACTACTTTTGAAGCTCTGTAATTATAATAATCAGTTTCCCTTTTTGGTAACCATTTTTCTTTTCTTTTTTTCTGAGACAGAGTCTCACTCTGTCACCCAGGCTGGAGTGCAGTGGTGCAATTTTGGCTCACTGCAACCTCCACCTCCCAGGTTCAAGCAATTCTCCTGCCTCAGCCTCCCGAGTAGCTGGGTCTACAGGTGTGCACCACCATCCCTGCCTTTAAAAATTTTTTTTATTTTTGGTAGAGGTGAGGTTTCACCATGTTGCCCAGGTTGGTCTTGAACTCCTGACCTTAGGTGATCCACCCACCTTGGCCTCCCAAAGTGCTGAGATTACAGGCATGAGTCACCTGTGTCCTTCATGCTTTTCTTGTATTATTTCAGCCCCATTCGTTATTACAAAAGTACAGCATCTAAATAGAATCCTATGGATTTGTGTAGAGAATATTGTTGAATTGAATTTCTAAAGGTGACGCTTTGAGGAAAAGAGTCAGAATCATTACTCAACATCAGCTGCTCCATTCACCAGACAGTCTCACCCCATTAACTTTCTCCCTGACCCAGCTTGTGTGACCTTGGGCAAGTCACTGAGCATCTCTGCCTTTGTCTTCCCAGCTGTCAAACAATGGGATCGTTCCAAATCTGTATTTCTCACTCTTGGATGTGTATGGGAATCCCCTGGGGAGCTTGCTAAAATGCACCCCTAAGTAGTTGCTTCAGAATCTCTCAAGTGGAGTCTGAGCTTCTATCTGCATTTCTGACAAGCACCTTGGGTGATAATAACACAAACCAGAGTCTGAGAACCACTCCAGGACATCAGTACCTCTCAGCCTGTGATGTGCATTGAGGCACCTAAAGAGTTTTTTCAATATACACCTGTTGGCCTAACTCCTGGAAATACTAATTCAGGGGACAGCTGGGACTGGGAGCAAGGCATGCTTTAATAGTGTTCATGGGGGCCGGGCGCGGTGGCTCAAGCCTGTAATCCCAGCACTTTGGGAGGCCAAGGCGGGTGGATCACGAGGTCAAGATATCGAGACCATCCTGGTCAACATGGTGAAACCCCGTCTCTACTAAAGATACAAAAAATTAGCTGGGCACGGTGGCGCGTGCCTGTAATCCCAGCTACTCAGGAGGCTGAGGCAGGAGAATTGCCTGAACCCAGGAGGCGGAGGTTGCGGTGAGCCGAGATCGTGCCATTGCACTCCAGCCTGGGTAACAAGAGTGAAACTCCGTCTCAAAAAAAAAAAAATAGTGTTCATGGGTCATAGTAATTTCCACTCCAGGTTCAGAAAGGCAAGAGTCAGACATAAGACATAACCATGAACTGTCATGGGATACAGATGAGACATGGCCCCAGGGAGCACCCAGTTTAGATTGGAAGGCAAAAGAATGAATCAGAACCATGTGAACATCATAGGAAAGGACTGACTCAAGAGGGTCATGGTAAAATGCAGGAGATTCTGGTCACTTTGGTCTGCTCTGTTTTCTCTGGGGAAGGCAGTGGAAGAAGGGTCAGGAAGGCTTCACCAAAGCGGAGAGACTGGAATTATAAAATTTTCCAATTGTATTAAAAGGCATATTACTTCATTTTTAGGTCTTCATTTCCTCATTGATAAAACAAGGATTCTAATATTTGACTGACTTGTAGTAATTAGCCTTCAATAATTATTAATGACCATTGTAACGATGAGAAAGTGGCCAGCGCTTTGAGGGTTTCAAGGCCCTCGTCCGGGGGCCCATGTGACTCTCACTGGCCAGCAGGGTGCTTTAAGAAGCCCAGGGGCCTCTGAATGCTGAGAAACTGCTGGAGCACCAGCTGTTCCTTCTTAGGCTGTTCAGGCTGGAGAGTGATTTCACACAGAGGACCAGGCAGCCTCAAGGCTGGGAAGCCTTTCTCATGGTCCTGTTTCAAATGTACATTAATTTCATTCTTTAAGAGCCAAGACAGACCTTTTCTTGTCTGCCTAGCTATGCCCTGTTTTACTCTTCCATCTGTTAGGACTGTTGAGTGCTCCATGAATAGCTGGGCTTCTTGTTTACAGAGTTGGCTGCACAGGCTAATAGAAGTGATCTGTCCCTGATTAATTACTTGAATTTTTTTCTCCTTTTGTTGTGTTAAGTAGATGGACATCTTTTCTCCTCTGTGCTACAAAGTGCCTGCATATCGTGGCACCCTTGTCATTTCTATCTGGGTTAATCATGGGCTTTTGGGTAAATGCACTGCCACTTCATCTGTGTGAGGATGGGGGCTGCAAGAGTGGGGAAGCAAACACACATGTGGAGACAACTGAAAAAGCCCTGGAGAGAATAAAAACTCTCAGAAAAAAAATGGTTTTAAACCTAGGAGAGTAGAATGTTGTGGCTGAAAAGAGTCTTGGGGATTATTCAGCCCAGCCTGTTCATTCATTGACCAATGCGGAAACTGAGGCCTAGAGGAGGAGGTCCTAGAGCCAGCCAGCGGCAGAGGAAAACCACATAGGGCTTCTAAGTGCAAGCCTATGGTTCCTTCCATTCCCAGCTGCTCTCTAGTATTTGGAAATCATAATTAGGAGGGATTAACCTTTGTTGATAACAGCATTTACCCCACACAATTACCACCTGACACTCCAGGTATGTGGTAGAGACAATGTGATATGACATGATGTGATATAATAGAACAAAAATAATAGGAATCATCATTTATGGGATGTTTACCATTTGCCTGGTACTACTGTACTAAACATTTACATTCCTAACAATATTCAATCTGTATTACCACTGTACAGCATATCCCTATTACATAGATAAGGAAAATGAAGCTCAGAGAGCTTAAGTGATTGCCCAAAGTCACTCAGCTGTAGATGACAAAGTCTGAGTTTGAATGTCTGATTTCACTAGAATCTTCTGCTTTGATTTGAAACTGGGCCCTGAAATCTGGGACTATTTAATAATACAATCATTTATAAAGTTTCTAAAGAATTATTTAACATATGAATTTTGACCATCAGAATAAGCCTAGGAGGTTGACAGAGATGGCATTATTATCCCCACTCTATCAGTGAGAACGCTGGGGCTTAGACACTGTAAGTCACTGGCTGTAGGACTTGCAACAGAGTGAACACTCTGCTGAGTATGGATAATGATGGCTTTTCCAAACAGCTTTCCCAGTCTCCAAGGCACAGGGGTCTCTCTTGGCTCTACACCCCCATGTACAGCTCTTTCTTCCTCTCGCCCAAGTCACAGTGATTTATACTCAAGTCTTATTTATTCTGCTACAATGAACTTATCTATGCAACCACTGTACTCTATGTACTCAAATATTTGCTGAATAAGAGAATGAAAAATTGTGATTGCAGGCATTTAGAGGTTCAACTTCTTCAGGGACTCAGAATTGAGATCTACAGTTACCCCACCCAAAAGCATATGCACATATGAAAACATGATGCACTAAAATGTTTTTTGTACAACAATAACATGAGAAACAGCATACACATCTAATAGTAGAGGACTGGGACATCCATTTGCTGGAATACTTTATGGTCATTAAAAATGCGTACACAGAAACCATTTAATGACATGGAGAAATGTTTATGATCTAGCATTTGGGGGAAAACAGCATTTGCTAAAACAGTTTGCTTAATGTGATCTCATTGTTTTTAGCAAACACTACATACACACAAACACTTTGAAAAAAGACTAGGAGAGAAGACAGGAAATGTTAACTGGGAATATTTCTAGCAGGTGGAATTATCACAGTTTTCACCATCCTCCCTATATTTCTTGTTATTTTCCAAAAATTTTCACAATTATCAATCATGCATATTTTTCTGAAATGAACAATATCCCAATAAATGTTATTGACAATGTTTCTAAGGCAAGGGCTTACCCCTGGGATTGGTGAGTGAGGCTTCCGTGGCCTTCCCACCATCCCCGCAGCGAGTGTCGTCAAAGGGGAGGCACTGGTCACCTGTCCCTGCAACCACCTCAGAGTTCTTGACAAGGTCCTTCACCACCACAGTGGACTTGATTTTAAAGACCCGCCGGCTGTTGGTGTCGGAAAGGAAGACAGCCCCGCTCATGGGGTCTGTGGTCAGGTAGTATTTGTGTGCTGGGCTGTGACTAGAAAACAAAGACATGGCCAACTGGTGGGCATTTTCTTCTTTCCTGCGAGTAGTTAGAGATGCACAGGTGAACCCCCGGCCCTTTAGAATCCAAGCCAAAATGTCTTATGGAGACGATACCCCTATTTTGGGTGATGGTTCCCCAACTTTTCTGACCTCAGTGGCTGCCTTAACTATCCTTCCCACCCACTGTTCTTGCAAAAACCCCATGCCAATGATTGAGATGGCCAGCTCAGTGCCATCTTTGTATCAGGTGCTAAATACATGTTTTCTTAAGAAGATGATCACTGAGGCCTACCAGAGGTGGCCCGTTCATTCAGCTAGAAACATGGATGCTCTTGACTTTAAAAAAACACTTCAAGAGTTCACAAACACAAGCCCCTTTCCAGAGGATTTTTACAGCAATCCCTCATCTCCATCTTGGGACTGACAGATGAAACCCCAGCTGGCTCTGACTCCTGGTCAACATCAACACTGTTTTTGTTATACTCATGTTATACTTATCAGGAGCCCAGGAGTCTCCCTCTGGCAGTCAGATATAAATGAATAGCAGGATTAGTTTGTAATTTGCAGCGAACCCCCCCCAAAAAATAAGCAACACAGAAGAGCAGTGCCGATGATGTTTCTGTTTCTGGAAATCAGTTATAAAGACCAGGCTTGTGCCAACAGAGGAGAGAGAAGCTTGACTACATAGAGGCACTGGGGAGACAAAGCACTGTCTCTAGCCATAGGCTGAGGAAAAGGCACAGGATTTGGAATCAGATCAGTTTGGGTTCCAAGTCTAGTTCTGTAATTTCCTGGTTCTTAAACTTGGGCAAGTTACCTGGTCTCCTGAGCCTCAAACTGTCTTTATGTGCAAAATGGGGGTGTTAACAGCTACCTTGCTGGTATGTTGGGGAAATTAGAAAATAATAAAAAGCTACTTTTAGCATAGTGTAGATGGTCAATAATAATAATTATTTTAAATACCCATGATTGTGTCTCTTCTTGCACTTGGAGATGACTATGTAGTAGATATCTCTTATTAAATCTGAATTCTTCTATCCCCTGGTACTGATACACAATTTCTTTCAAGTCTAGAGCACACTGGAGTTGAATTCAGCGCTTCTGAGAAGCTAATCTGGAGTTCCTGTGCATGGCCTGAACATTTGCTGAGCCCTAAAACTGCATCTCAATATTGGCAACGCCATCCAGGTCTCCGGAAAGTACTTTGATTCAAATGAAGCTCTCTCTGTTTGGCTTGGATGGCCTCGTGCTGGCCATTTTCACTTACAATGAGGCAGAAACTGTGCTAGGGGACTTGGGACAGACTAAACAGTGATGAGAGCACCATCAGGGCCGGAGCACTGCAGACCCCTTTCAAGACGAATGCAAGAGATTTTGAGAAGTCTAGAAAGAAGCTATTTTGCATTTATCAGGTATGTAAGTTTTGGGTTCTTTTGAAAAGCAAAATTTTATTTTACAGATTGGTGATTTATGAATTCCCTATGAAGCCTGGGGCATCATAATCTTTTCCATATCTAGGTCACTGAGGGTTTTAATCTGGCCCTGGGAGGTTTGTCATTATAAATGTCTCTTGTCTTGGACAGTGTCCTTGGGGACTGGCTACCTCGAAAAGGGCCAGGCATCCAGACTGAAGGCTTTCCTTCCTTTGTTTTCTCTCCCTAAATTCAACTAACCTGGTATGATTTTCTCCAACTGTCCTTCCTCCTTAACCCTAAAACTCCTGTTCCATTACATCTTTTCTGAACCAAGGGCAGGTCTCTCAGCCTGTAGCCTGGGTCCTCTTCAAGCCATTCTTCTTGATCTAACCCAAATACCAACCTGCCATTTCAATGCATTCCCTTCTGGGACTCCCTGATTCTTACAGAGAAGTTAGGACTCGCCCTCCCCCAACAAATCCCAGATTTGTGCTGTGCTGCTCCACCCTCCCAGCCTCCCTCCCCTCCCAGATACCCTGCATCTGGCCACAGACCTATCTGTCCCTGCAGCACACCTCAAGGCTGCCTGCACCTGCTGCTCCTGCTCTGCAGTATGCCCTGCCCCTCCCTTTCCTACTCACTCTTCACATATCAGTTTAAATGTTCCTCTGCAAACCTTCCCTTCTCCCTGTGTGTGGAGATTTGTATCCATTCATTCCTGGTTGATAGGACATAAAGCTGTGACTGTTCATTTATGTGTGTGTCTCCAAAACCTGATCATCAATGCTTGAAGGGAAGAGACTGGATTTTATTCATTTTTGTTTTTCCAATGTTCTGCTTTGTGCCTTCTAGCCAATAGTAGTCACTTGTTTTAAGTAGATGGCATGTCTATTTTTAGATTACTTAGGTAGTGTTTGCATTTACATTATTTAGCTCTTCTTTTACTTCACTTCTGGGGTAGCAGTAAATAGGACAAGTATCCTGTCTATTTTGAAATGTTCCCTGTGACTTCCCCTTGAATGTAGCACAGATATAATCTTCCCAGATGACATCAATTCTGGCTAAATAAAATGCAGTGACCTTAGATCCTACTTTGTAATGCTGGGCAGCCTTGATCTTTCTGCTTTTCTGATGACAGTGCTGAGGTGGGGTGATGTTTCTTATTTATTTGCACGTCACTCATGATAAACTGGTGCTATTTACCTTGGCAGAAAATGGTCCCTGAGGGGGTATGGTGAGGGGGCCCTGTCCACTTATATTAGCCTCCTAAGTTTCCAGCTCATGTGTCCCTGCACTGCTCCAGAGTAGTGTCACTCAGGTGGAGTTTCTCAGATTAGTGAATTCCAGGACAGGGTGGCATTGTCAGGATTACCTCAGAGTCTATAAAAGCTGTGGCTGCATCTTTCAGCCCAAGGACAAATTTGAGGTCTGGTGGTAAGTTAAACATAGGGAAAACAACAACTAGCTTTGAAATTAGAAGGTGTGGGCTCTCATTTGGGTGAGTCACCTAAATAGTTCAAATCGGAGGTCCCTTAGTTGTCAAATGATTAAGTCCCTGCTCGGCTATGCTCACAAGCTTGTTATTAGGATCAAATGAAATTATACATCTCAACAGCCCTTCCTAGTTTGCAGAGCTCTTAGAACACTCTTCAACTCATTTTGTCCTTGTGCCACCTGGCACTGGGAGCTGCACCTGCGTCTGTGATGCCCATCTAGACGCCACCAGGCTGCGGTGCCACCTGTCTGCAGAACAGAGCTGCAGAGATGACTACCACTGATAGGAATGAATCTGTGACCACCTATGGATGCCGATCTGTCTCAGACACTGTGCTAGCACTTGATGTATGCATGACCTCATTTTCTTCACAACTACCATATAATGTAGGTACTTTTCTCCCTTATATTTCAGAAAACTGAGACTGGAAGAGGTGAAGTGACTTGTCTAGGACCACAGATTCTCAAGTGGCAGAGTGAAATTCCAACTGAGTTCTGCTTGACTCAAAAGTCTGCGTTCTTTCTATTTCCTCACCCAGCTGCTCAGGATCTAAAAGCTTCCTCTACCCATATTCACCTGGGAGTACCTGCTCATCTTCTGAGGTTCAGCTCATCTGTACTACCATTCCTGAACCCTCACTTCTTCCCCACTGGTAGAACTGACCACTTCCTTCATTGTGTCTCCCCTAGAGCTTACGAAGTTTGTATTTTTAGTATCTGTGGCACCAATTAAACTTTTCTGTTTGTCTCTTGGATGAAATCTTGAACTACTCAAGGGCAAGGACTGACTACCAGCCTCTGCTGCTCTGCACTGCGATGATGCAGAATAAGTACTCCAGAAATTTCTGCTGAATTTATGAAAGGATATCAGCCTCCCTGGCTGGAGTATACATAGGAAACACTCACTGCTAACAATCTTAGAGTGGTGGTTCTCACACATGGCTACACATCAGAATGGCCTGGAGAGCTTTAACAAAAGGCTTACCAATAATGATTAAAGGGTGTGGGCACCTATACCTTTGAGGTTTCTCCAGGTGACTTGGAGGCATAGCCAGATTTGGGAACCATGGCCTTGAAGCAGTTCTTTTTAAACTTTAATGTGTCACCTGGAGCCTTTGCTAAAATGCACATTTCAGTTCAGTAGTTCTGGGGTGTAGAACTTGAGAGTCTGCGTTTCTAACAAGTTCCCAGAGCATGCCAATGCTGCTTGTCTGTTTTTTGAGCAATAAGGCCTTAGAATACTCTACAAATCGTAAATGTCTCAGGGCATGAGATGGAAGCTACAGCTGAGGCCTCAGGCCTGGTTGTGTGGACAGGGAGCATCTCTAGGAAAGGGACCATGTCTGATTCAATTCTGATGCCCAGTATCCTGAGCAGGACTGGACACTGAGTAAGATCACAACTTCATTTTCAGTTTGCTGTAGAAGTCTCTGAGGACCCACATTGTTTTCTAGTTCCTCGAACATAACCTTAGTCTCTCTGGAAGTGACATAAAATCAAAAGGCCTTCAGGGTACCATTTCTGAAGTTAATGAGCTGAAGCCAAGCTTCTTTCTACCCTCATTTTAGATGGTGTTGGGAATTTCCCAGTAGGAGCTGAGAGCCTAGGAGTCTGTAGAGACATACAGGCTCACTTGCTTCCGAATGAGAATTCTCTTTGTCTCTGAGTAAGGTCTGCCTCATGCAAAGGAGTGTCCTTCAACCACAGAAGGTGGCAGCCCTGGCAGAACTTAATTCCCTGGTTTTCAGAACCAGTGAAAGAGCCTGAGCGCTGGAGCCACACAGTCAAGGGTTCAAATACCAGTTCTGCCATCCATCTGGCTAAGCGACCCTGGTCACATCACTTCATAGCCTTGGTTTTCTTAAGCTGAGAAATGAGGATAATCACATCTATTTCAAAAAATTATTTTGTTACAAAATTTCATGAAGAATATAAATCTCTGAGCATAGTGCCTGTTCCACTAAAAAATAAAATATTCAACAAATGGCAGCTTTTAAGCAAAGCTGGTCACTTCAGAAACTCCTAGAAGATTTGGTGCATAATGGAAACACTAAGTATGTCAAACTTTATTTTGTCCTGTTCAACCTATTTCCTGGGACAGTTAAGGGCTGTGAGTTAATATAGTATGTGTAGCTGGGTTTGATGGACACTTGAGTTCAAATGTACTTGTGAAGAAAAGGCTTCAAACACCTTCTGTGACCCTAGGGAAGAGCTCTGGGAAGAGGCAAAGATGCTTGTTCCCTGAAGGAGTCCATAAAGGAAGATGCCCCGTGGATTATGGGTTTCTGACTGAGCATGCTCGGCATGGCAGGCTGGCACTGAGGTTGGAAAAGCAAAAGGCAGAGATGAGTCTGCCCTGGGGAAGCCCAGGCACAGGCTCAAGCTGCCAGCAATGGGGCCAGACATATTACTGGGAGTGGCTGAGAGAGTTAATGGAGGAAGTGGACACAACTGTGTAATTTTTTTAAATCCATCTCCAACATTTATGTCCAGTGATGGGGACACTGAAGCCCAGAGAGAGGAAGAGATTTGCCAATATCCAGGTGGCAGTTAACATCAGAGCTGAACTCAGGCTTTCTGTCTCCTGGTTGCCTTTGGAAAACTGCAAGGCAGAAAGTAATTCCTTTTTTTCCCCTCTACTTTGGTTCATCTTAGAAAGTTATTAGTACCCAAGAAAACAATGAATTGACGAAGGGTTTAAAGTCATACCATGAATATATAAAAAGATCATTGAACATCAGAAACTAAACATTCCCAAACCACAACTCTTTCAGTTTATAGATGATGAGACTGGAAAGCAGAAACTCCCAAGTAACCAGCCCAAGGCCACACAGTGAATGTGCAGCAGGGCTGGACAGTACCTGGCTTCCTGATTCTTCCCCGCTATGTCCCTCTGGGTCATGGCTGCATCCCAGGCAGCCGCCACCACTAACTGAATGTTTCAACATTAAATGCTAGGCTTTAATCCAAGACCTTCATGTGACATGTACTTCTGTGTTTTCTGTACAACTGAAGTTGAAGGCATGGACCACTAGATAGTTCAGTGTCATCCATACAAATCTCATCGAAAATCTCGGATTTCAGTGTTAGGAAAAAAACATTCCCCTTCTGAAGAATGGGTATGTTTTTCCATTTCTGATAACGTAAAGTATGAAAATAATTATGTTTTCTTATTTACACTTGCTGCCAGGAAGCTCAGAGCCTAATCTGATAAATCACATATGTTTCCTCCTTTTTTCTTTTGTTACCAATTTCTATTTGATTTACTTTAATACATGTGTCTTTGGGTGTAAGAGGATTCAATTCCTTTTTGGGAAAGATGGAAGCCTCATCATTATCATATAATAATTTTTGTAATAAATTATAATACTATTAACTCTATAGTATGTTATCATTATTATTACTACTACTACTATTTCTGGAGCTCCTCCCTGTGCCTGAAAGTACTGAACAGTTTACAAACATCTTCTGTGATCATTAAAACAACACTCCAAGGGAGATTTTATTAACCTTGTGTTAGAAACTAAAGCTTAGAAAGATGAAGGAATTTTTTCAAGACCACATAACTGGGGAGCTTCAGTTTTCTCATCTGTCTACTGGATGTAATCATGAATATCTACTTCACAGAGTGGGCTGGGAATAGAATGCTACAATCCATGGAAAGCACATAACCCTCTATCTGCTACATAGTAAACTCTCTATATGTGTTAATTATTAAATAATTATTATCCTATTTTCTACTTATATAATGAATATTATCTTAAAATAACACATACAATTATTACATGAAAAATGTATCTACTTTTGTCAAAAAAGATAGAATCATTGTTGGATTCTAGGTCTGTCTGACTCTTTCCACCATCCCCAAGACTTTCTTTCATCCCAGCTTAGCAGTATCCCCATGCCACTATTATCTGAGCCACATGTGGACAACTGAGAGCCACTTCTGTGGCCATACAAGCCACAGCTCTTTCTGCCCAGGGTTACTTTTCTAGTCACCACAAGGTATGTGAGGTCAGGGGACTCCAAGGTGACTGTTATTCAGGAGTCAGGTGAATTCCACAGTGACAGGTGACGCTGACAGGTAGCGCTGACAGGTAGACACTTGTCTTGGTGTGCCTGACTAGAACCATTTCTGTTTACTGCATCTTGCTGTGAGTCTACACGACAAGCCTACTCTGGGACAAAATTCTTATTTAAGGATTGATCTCTGCAGTTGGTTACTGGAGTTCGCTCTCTCCTTGATATCAAGCAAGCCATTTGTGAGGGGTTGCCTGGCATCCCCAAGTTGAGGAACCTTGAATGCCCCCAGAAGTAAACATATGAAATCTGTCTTATTCCAGACTGTTCACCTGATCAAGATGTTCTCAGGACTTCCTTTCATCACCATCAAAGTCACTCAATGCAGTTAGGATGACATCCTCATTTATTCTAAGGATAAGCAGACTGTGGTATTCAAATTACTATTCCAAGGTTCAAATTCTTTCCCATATTACCTTCAGAGTATCAAAGTAACTGCCTCACTTTGCAACAGATCCAAGGAGTTCAGGCTCCTGCCACCCATCCCTGCTATTAATGACTTCCTCTCAATGCAACTGATTACTGCCAATCAGTTCCAATCACACAGGATTCTTCTGCCATACAGTCATCTGAAATTGACACGCTTACCACACAGCATGCAACAAGGCAGGGGTGAGGCAGGAAATTCTCCACTGGTTGGCTTACCTATGTCTGAAATCTTTATTTCTGACAGAAGACAGGAGAGCAGGGAATAGAAGAAAGAATGAGGTGTTAGCAGCAGGGTTAGAAGCATTATTAGCGGCCTGAACACTTGACAGCAATGGTACTATACAATACTATAATAAATAAAGACTTAGCAGCTATGACACTGATATATTTTATATTGGATATTACTTGTCAGTGAGTTCACTTACAAGCAGCTACATATCATAGATGAGGCATGGTTTCACCTGCACTACTACTGCTGACTTTGGGGGAAGAGGACTAGATTGAGACATTCTGCTGCTTTAACAAGGGCTAAGCCAGAGATTGGAATAGTGGATTCTCTTCTCTGTATAGACACATACCCAGAGATACATAGGCTTACTGCTCTGTGTCTCCATATGCACACTTCCCTACGAAGAGTTACCCAAACTTGGTTCGCTTCCCTGGAGCCTCCTCATAATGGGATACAGAATTGGAGATAGATTATAATTAGAAGGAAGGGTATGACTCAGAAACAGGCCTAGGAAAAAAAGACTGGAAGAAAACATATCAAAATGATAATATACTTCTAAACTGATTTTTCTTTTCAAATTTCACTTACATCTCCCTGCCTTATCCACTGTCATGATCTCCCCAACAATTGTGGGAGGGAGGCAGGGAAAATGGGGGCTGTTATTGGAAAGAGGTAAAAATGGAGGTCCAGGGAGGTTCAGTGATTTGGCCAAAGCTGCACAGCTTCTCCGCTGAGGTGGGCTGATTTCCTCGCCCATGGCGCTTCCTGTTGTAGTCCACATATGCAGCCAGCTGACACAAATATGCTCAAAGGATCCTTCTTCCTTGACAGATGTCTGTGTCAGTCAGACTCATAACAGACAGAAGAAGGACTGAGAATATTCCACTGGTGGTCCTCTTCTCATTCAGCCGATATCTTATTTCTTATGAGTCTACTGTGTGTATGCTTGTCTGGTGCTGTGCATGGGGCCGATACTAACTCTTCTCTTTAGGGCTCATGGCTGTTGGCCCTGCCTTCCTTTCACACGTGCGCTGCAGAGTGAGGTTCTTGCAGCACAGCCTTCCCCTCCAGGGAGGAACTTAACAAGGCATTAAGTCAAAGTGGCCTCACTGGGCTAGGTAACCAGGTTTTGGCGAGGCAGAGGTATGTAATAATCTCTGGATTTGGGTCCACCAGTCTAGGAGCTGGACCCCAGGCAGGTTCTTTAAATACCCTAAGCCTCCATCTTCTCATTTACCAAAGGGGGATAATAATAAATACCTTACAGAATTGTTTTGCTTGGCAATAGTAGGAGCCCAGCAAAAGTGAGTTTTCTTTTCCCTTGCCCACTGTGGAGGAAGGCTTTCCAGCTCCAGAGCCTGCCCTGCTCACATGGACCCTGGCCCAGAAGACAGGCGGATTCCATTCCCTAAAAGAATTGGGAGGGAGCTTGGTGCAATTCCTCCTACAAGGGAGTGTAAGGCTCCCTTATCTCTAAAGCACAGCTTTTCCATGACCCCAGAGCACACCCTATGACAGTGTCTTGGTTCCAAAATGATCTAGGTTAGGGAGACATAGAGAAAAATCCAACATATCGGTTCTTTCCCTGAGCTATAAGCGTGGCTGTGGTTCATCACTCAGGGTCAGGATGGGGAAAGAGCCTGACTCAGCCGCTTCTGTAGTACCTGAGGAGCAGAGAGGCACTGCCTGGTTTTTGGCTGTGGGCCTTATTTCTATATTGGTCAGTTGAAGAAAACTACCCTTGGGCCCAAGGGATCCTCCTACCTCAACTTCCTGAGTAGCTAGGACTATAGGTGGGTGCCACCACACCCAGCTAATTTTTAAAATTATTTTCTGTAGAGATGGGGTCTCACCAGGTTGCACAGGCTGATCTCAAACTCCTGGCCTCAAGTGATCCTTCTGCTTCAGCCTCCCCAAATGCTAGGATTACAGGTATGAGCAACGGCACCTAGCCCCTTGTTTGTATAATAAAGATTCATGTGACTAATTCTAATCTGTTTAGTTTTAGAAAACAGAAAGCTTCAATGGCATCCAAAGAGTTTAATTTTGGGCTGCTAGCAGCCTTCTACGCGACAGATGTACCTTAGATGCTGGGGACATCTCCCTGTCCTTAGTAGCTTGTCTTCACCGCAAGGGGAAGCAGCACCTGCTTGAGCTGGGAGGTTAAATGCCCCAGAGTCTGATAGGTGAGGCTCTGTCCTGTCCCACTTCCCTGGGCTCAGTAGGTAATGCAGCGGGGCCCACAGGATGGCAAAGGGATGTGATTAGGAACTGTGAAGAAAGCATCACCTTACATACCTCAACTCCAGGATGTTGGTGACATTTCCAGAGGGGAAGATCCTACGAATGTAGTTGAAATCACCCACATAGAGGCTCCCATCAGAGCCACAGGTGAGGGCCACTGGGGCCAGGAGCTTGTTGCCATCAGCAAGGCCATTGCAGCTGGGGCAGGAGATGCTTCTCCGGCGCCCATTGCCCATGATGCTTCCGATGACAGGCGGCTGCTGAGACACAAACTGGTTCTCCCCATTCCCTTTGTGCAGGATGCCTGGGACAAGGACAGAACAGAATTGCCTGTGGAGCAGGAAATGGGTATCTTTTCCTGCAGTTGGCCACAGAGTCACCCGGATTTTGCAAGGCATGCAAGATCTCCGTCAACCATTTCCAGGATCGTAGCTCAAGGCTTTGCCTTGCCCCCATAACAGAACCCAGAGTGTCCTAAACAAGTCACTCAGCTTTGGTTCTCTCCACAGCTCTATAAGATAGGCACTACTATTATCCCTACTGTAACAGGGGACTGTCCAGGTAGCTTAAGCAACCTCACCTAAGATCACACAGATGATGAGTGGAAGAGCTCCAGCGTCTGGCGCTTAGCCATTCAGCTACACTGCCTGCCTCTCAGGTAGGTTGGCCGTATCTCATGGACCTAGTCCACAGCTCTGTGACAGCATGAATTCTTTATCGCACTTACTTGTTTTTCTCTTTCAATTGGTACCATTTCGAGTGTGGAGACTCTGTCTTTTTCCTTTCTCTATCTCCAATGCTTAGCACAGAATTTGACACAGAGTAGATACCAATGAATGTTTATAGAAATGAATGAGTGAAACTCTTTTCACCAAAGGAGCATCAAGAAGAGATGGGTTTTTACCTGGCTTCGGTGTTAACAGGCTGATTCCAGCTCCCAAAGAGGTCTCTTTACTGCTGTGACTACCCTTGGGCCTGCTTCCCCCTCAACACAATGAGGGCATTGACCTCAATGACTCGAAAGCTTCTTCCCATATCTAGCCTGTTTCTTTTTAGTCCGGATCCTCCATTTCCTCCTGCACACTTCATAGCCTCCAAACTGGATCCTCTGGCCCCTGTCTCACCTCTTCCATAATGAAGCCCGAGTGAGCTGTGCTCTTCCAGATCACCAAAATCTTCTCCCAAACTGCTACCTGTTAGTTTGGTCAAAGCTGTCCTTTGTTCGATAGAGATCTTTAATTTTTATGTACTCTAATCAATCATTGTTCTACTTTAAAGTTTGTGCTTTGTTAGGTTTGAGGAAATCCTTTCCTGAGATTTTTACAGATATTCTACTAATTTCTTTCTTTTTTAAATTGAGATAGGGCCTCACTCTGTTGCCCAGTCTGGAGTGTAGTGGCACGTTCTTGGTTCACTATAGCCTTGAACTCCTGGGCTCAAGCGATCCTCCCACCTCAGCCTCCTGAGTAGCTGAGACCACAAGTATGTGCCACCACACCTAGCTAATTTTTTTAAAAGATTTATTTTAGTAGACATGGGGTCTCACTATGTTGCCCAGGTTGGTCTCAAACTGCTAGGCCCAATCCTCTTGCCTTGGCTTCCCAAAGTGCTGGGATTACAGGCATGAGCCACAGTACCTAGCCTTTTAAATATTTTACTTCGTTAATTTTAAAGGGTTATCTTCCACATTTAGATGTTTAGGAAAAGTCTCTATTTTGTATACAATGTGGAGGACTTAATTTGTCTCTACATATTGAGCCAATTTTCCCAATACTAAGTTATAAAACACCCTTCCATTCTCCACTGATATATGACACTATCTCTGTCAGGTACTGAGTTCTTATATATGTGGCAAAAACTCCTCCTTGCCCACTGACATCGATCCTATCCATGCTTTCCTTCTTTTGCAGTTACAGAATCCCTGCTATTTAACTGGGCACATGACTGCCTGGAACAGACCATGATCCCTGGCTCCATGGCAGCTACATCCACAGCTAGGTTCTTGCAATGGCATAGAAGTAGAAGTGATATGGGCAGCTGCTGGGAAGTGTCCTTACAATGCAAGGGACTTGCTCTTTGTCCTTCACTTTCTTCCTGCTGGCTGGAAAGAGGATGTGAAGGCTGGGCCTGAAGTGATCACCTTGGATCATGACTTTGGAGATGAAAGCCAGAGTGGAGCACAGAGAGAGTGGAGCCTGGGTCTCTGACACTGCAGCCCTGGCTTCTCTACTTCCAGATTTGCAGAGTAAAAAGTGAGGTGAATGAGAAGCAAACTAACTTTTTTCCAACTCTGTTATTTTGGCTTTTCTGAAACCTGGGGCCTAAACTAGTTTTAATTCCTCCTCCCATGTCAGTTTCTGAATACGTTCTATTGCATGGAATCAATTTATCTGTTCCTGTGCCAGCACCACATAGTTTTAGATACTATGGTTTTTCTAACGTGGCTTAATAGCTGGTGAGTCTCTCTTTTTTGTTCTTGTTTTAAAGGCTGCATTAGCTATTTACAAATCTGTATTCTGTCATAAATTTTAGAATTAGTTTGTCAATTCCCCCCAACACATGCTGTGGCTTTGATGGGCATTTGCTGCCTTTTAAGATCAGGCAGGTGACAGCTGACATCAGGACTATATTTAGTTGTCCCATCCTGGCTCATGGTCAGAGTCAGTCATCTATAATACAGATCTGATAGTACCACTCGCATGCTTTAGACCTTGTAGAGGCTTGACATTTGTTTTGGATGATGCTGAAAGTCCTAATCTTCATACTCTGGACTCTAGCTGCTCATACCCAAGCTTTGTCTTTTGCTATTCTCTTCATGTCTTCCTCTACTTAAATCACAACGAACCTCTCTCTCGTAACTCTTCTTTTAGGCTTCAGTACTATGACACATATTGTGCCCTCTGCCTAGAATGTTCTCCCTACTTGATGCACAGGGCTAATTCTATAGACCTTCTGAGACTCAGTTCAGGAATTCTTGCCAAAGGACATCTTTATGAACCAAGACACTGGGTGAGGTGCTCCTCTTCCGCCTGTAAATCACCCTGTGCCTCCCTCTGTGATGTCAGGGTATATGGCACAGCACTGAAACTACCTGGCGAGTATTCGTGTCTCACAGGCATAATAAAGTCTTGAGGCCTTTCATTTCTGCATCCCCAGTGCCTAGCATAGTGAAAGCCTCTGAGGAGACATACAAGCAATATTTGTTGAATGAGCTCTCTGATCACATAGGAGCCTGTGGGATTCAAGCGTAAATTTTTTGTTTGGCAGGGCCCAAGGGATACGAGACAAGATCCCAACCTAGCCTGGTTCAAGTAATTCTATGAATCCACTTACCACTTTGAATGTTGAGGGCATGATGTTTGTCTAGGCTCCATCCTCCAAGCTTGGATGCGTCAATTTCATAGCCCTGCAGCACTGCTGTTCTTTTTTCCCACAGGATCAGATCTGGGCAGGATTCATATTCATAACCCACGGAAACTGTAGGTGACAAAAGCAGCAAAAACATAAGTGAGCAAAGTCTACTCTTTGGCCTTTAGAACTGTAGGCAAGGTCCCTGGCTTATCTTTTGTAGAAGAGGAAAAAAGGATCATATTTCTAAGTGGCAACCAGAACTATGTGAAATAGTTGCTAAGCCTTAATAATTTTTTATTTTAGAAGAGCAATTTCATGTTTGGTGAAAAGTTAAAACAAATGTATCAATGACTTTAAAAGGATCTAGGTGAATCACTTCCAGGGAAATAATCTTTAGTATGTGATAGGGTTTGGATCTATGTTCCCCACCCAAATCTCATGTTGGATTGTAATCCCCAGTGTTGGAGGTGGGGCCTGGTGAGAGGTGACTGGATTATGGGGTGGATTCTCATGAATGGTTTTGCACCATCCTCTTGGTGCTGTTCTCATGATGGTGAGTGAGTTCTCACGAGATCTGGTTGTTTAAAAGTATGCAGCACCTCCTCCCACCACTCCAGGTCCTGCTCCTGTCATGGAAGATGCCTGCTCTCTCTTTGCCTACTGCCATGAGAAAAAGCTCCCTGAGGCCTCCTGAGAAGCAGATGCTGCCAGGCTTCCTGTACAGCCTGCAGAACCATGAACCAATTAAACCTCTTTTCTTAGAGATTACCCAGTCTCAGGTATTGATAACAATATGAGAACAGATGAATATAGTATGGAAAATACTTTGTGCACAAAAGCCTTCAACGCAGCATTATTTATAATATTGGAAACTTAAAAGTCATCTAAAGGTTCAAGAGGGGTGAGGGGGTAGGCAAAACCAAGTACATCCACTCTAGGAATACTATGAAGCCACTGTAAGTTACAGTGAAGAAGATTACATGGGACAAGGGAAATGCTTATGGAGTAATGCTTGATTGAAAAGACTGGTTGTACATGGTAATCTGCATTAAAATAAATTGCACATGAAAAAAGAAAACTAGTTGTATTTGTTTATATGATCACATATAACTTTTTTCTATTTTTGTCCATTTTTCAAATTTTTATTAATGACTATGGTGTTTTTTTACTTAAAAAAAAAATAAGAATTTATAATGAATATAGAAATGGAACTTAGTTGGGGTACTTTTAAAGCTGGAAGTTGCTTTGAGGTTTCAAGGCTTAGAAATCCCCCGGATTTACTTTGTCTCACAAATCCATGCCCCCTTAGAAGGTCACTGGGATGAAGGCTAAACATGGCAGCCTCCCTGCCCCTGGCTGTGTAAAAAGTTCTGTAACTGGACAATGGAAAGGAACAGCAGAGACAGGAAGGCTATTTCTTCCAAGCATCCTCCTGGGCAGGCACTATTTTCCAGTGGGCAATATCCTACTACACGTTCAAGACAGGAATTAACAACTGAGCAGCTCCTTGAAGTTTCTTGTAGATGCTATGAAAGATTGCCGACCATTTATGGCAAGAGGGGAATGGGCTGGAAGATGTCCCTGGGACTCTTAAGCAGCCACTGTGCCTTCTACTGGTCACTTGTGATCTCAGGAAAGTGGCCCCAATCCAGTCACCTCCCTTCTTAACTGACTGGTGGGCACTAGAAGTGCTCATTTTACCTGAAGAGGTTATAAGGCCTCATTTTGAAAAAGATGACAGAAGTGGCTTGATCTACAGCAGGGTTCATGAACAGTGAGAGACTGTACCTTTGCTCCCACTGTGCCCTTATGAGGTAGGATGGGATGCAAACCCATACGAAAGGTCTGGGATAAATCCAGCTCTATTCTTTCCTAGCTGTGCATCACTGGGAAGTCATCTTACTTCTCTGGGCCTCAGTTTCTTCATGCAGAATTTGGGGGTGACAATTTTTGACTCACAGAGTATAGGTTTAACTGAGATACTAAACGCACAGGGGAGCATATTGCCCATGGCAGGTGCTCAAGCAACATTCTCTTATTTCCTTCCCACCTCCCTCGTCTTCTTTCTTCCCTCTCTCTCCCTCCCTCCCTTCATTGCTTCTCCTTACTCTCTTCCTTCCTTCTTCCCTGCTCCATCCCTCCTTCTCTTCCCCTTCCTTCTTTTTCTTCCTCCCCCACTTCCTTCCTTTCTAAATAACATTATTTCTCTGCTTCCTTATTCTGCCTTTGCTGAATCTCTGCTTTTGCTGAACCTAAGGGAATGAAATTTGAGTGGGGTTCAAGACAAGAAGGGATTTGCTGGGTGGTTAATCTTAAGTGCTTGGTAGATCAGCTCTTCAGGGTTAGGCCTGCTAAGAGTCCAGCTCTGAGCCCTTCCTTGGACCTCCTCTAATCTGGAAGCAGAAAAGCATCCAGCCAACCCCTGGGAGCCCAAGGGCCAAGTGAGGCTGGGACTCCAGGTGAGGCTACAGCCAACTTCTGTTTCATCTTACAAAGAGACGGCAATAGCAACAACAAAGAGATGACCTCTCTGACTGGGTAAAGAGGCCCAAAAGTATTTCTGATGAAGAAAGAATCTTAGTTCCTGCAGCTCAAAAGAAAGAAAGAAAGAAAGAAAGAAACCATTTTTTTTCAGCTCTCCTATTTTAATGGGTAAGTTCCCACAGGATCGCTGTGGAGTGGCCAGGGAGTGTCCACCTGGCCCAGCCTTTGCGGCACACGACCTCTTTTAGCCCCTCACAAGCCACCATGGTGCTTTTCCAGGGCTGTTTGGTTCTGTAGCCCTATTGTAATTGTTGGATCTTCTACATTCAAATGTTTCAGTACATTTTTTTTAGGTCCTGGACAGTCATGCAGAGGTCTTAAAAGTCAATTAAGCCTTAGGTATTTGTGATCTGAGAAGAGGAAGGAAGGAAGAAGAAACCAGGGAGGTAGAGGTGCTACTCTCTGAGTCCTGTAGCCAGGAGGCTTACCAAAGGCTTCTGAGAGCCCAAACACCTTCTGGTTGTAGACGTCTGTCTTGTCCCAAATGAAATAATAGGACAGGTCTGGGGCTGCAGCAAACCACTTCCTGAAGAGGCGACCTTCCACTGCTACCATGAGGTGCACCTTCATGAGGTTGAAGGGGATGGTCGGGTGGGTGAGGCTGATCCTCAGGACAGATTTGTAGCCAGGGGTCCGGCTGCTCAGGTAGCTCAGCCTCATCTTGCAGCCAGAGATAGAGATTTCCTCCTGCAAAGCCTAGAAAGCAGAAGCAGATCACAGCAAGGGATGGTCACTGACTCACCCGGTGGAGGGAAGATGGTGAGACCCCATGTTCTCTGGGTGTTCAGGTGGTAAAGGGAAAAGCAGAAGGGGGAGGGGAAGAGGAAACAGTGGAAAGAAGAGGGGATGCAGAGCGTGAAGAGAAGCAGGAGGAGGAGGGGAAAAGTATAAATGAGATGGGAGAAAGAATTGAGGAAGAGTATAACATGTCAGAAGACCTGGTTTCTGAGACCAGCTGTCATGTGGGGACCCCGCAGAAGTCACCTCACCTTGCCGAGCCTCAGCCTCCTGCTCTGTACAACAGGGATGACAGCACTCATTTCATTGCAGCTTTGAGGGAACACATAGGATAATGCATATAAAATACTTAGGTCACATTGCCACTGGTTCACGCTGTGTTATCCCAGAAAGCTCATGGAACATCTGAATCTCAGTCTCCTCACTGGCTTTGTGTGAGGACTGAGTAAGGTCACACAGGTAAAGTGCTTAGCACAGAAATGTTGTCAGGTGGCATGCAGTGCTGCTGCTACTGCTGGTGGTGCTGGCAGCACGGGTGCCATGAAGAGAGACTGCTGCAGCCAGCTGCCTAAGCAGGAAGGATGTTTCTCTCTCAGAACTTTCCTCAAATGAGATCTCTTCCAAATGACTTTCCTTTTCAGGAAATTAAACAGAGACTACAAGATGTTTACCAAACAAATAAACATGCACGTTTGAGACCACAGCCTGGCAGGGACCTGTGGTCATCCACAGAAGGGTTGGACTGGCTGCCTGGAGCTTCTGGCCACTGTAAGCCCCAGCTCCAGTGCCAAATGGACAGTATAGGGAAGGCTGTGACCTAGGGAAGGCTCAGGTCATTTAGCTACTGAGTGCAATGAGCCCAGTTCTAAGTTGGAAAGTTTAAATGAATGCCAGCGTGCTCAGGCACACGGCAAAAGCAGAGAACTTTATCCGCTTGGTGCTCTGGGCTCTGTTTCAGGAAAGGGACATTAAATCAATTGAGGCTAACGTATCTATTCAAGGGACAATGGCTATTCTACCCTATGTTTACAGTGGATCTGTGCCTTTTTCATCCTGTCCATTTCATAGACAAGTGTGAATGTTTACCCCCACCCCATTCTCCTGAATGCAGGAAGCTTTAGGGATTTTGCTTAAACCAAGGCAATCTTCCTAAACTATAGCTTACAAGTTCGAGGCAAAGCAGGACTTATACCTGGTAAGCCCTGGGCATGACTGATGTGCCATCCTGATGCTCTCAAAAATATTTACCTTCTTTAATATACTCTTTAAAATTCACATCTCCCAGCACTTGCAAAGGCTGCCAGAGGACGGGAAAATTCAAGAGTTTGTTTATGTGTATTTCATGAATCTGATAAGAAGCAAGGTTTTTGCCCTAACTGGATGTGCAGGCACCCAGCTCAGGGAGCACTGTAAAGAGGGTATGACCTTCAACCCCATTTGTTCCAGAGTCCCTGCTCCTGGGAAAAATGTCTAGCTGGAGCTGAGCCTGAGTTGAGCAACAAATTACTTCTCTCCAGCAAGCTGTCTCCACTGACAACCATTTCATAACAAAGGTCAGCCTGGTAGTTGAGACAGGAGACAGGCACTGAATCTGAAAAGGAGGTTTCAACTTGTGAGTACAATGAGAATTTCAAAATGACTGTATGTCTTTCTTGTTGGCTGGCATCGAAAGCCACTCAATAGGGTATGCACGGAAAGGTGTTTGCTCAGCCAGGCATGAAATACACACACAAAAATGTATAAACTCCTTGCTCCACCGGCGCCACAATCCATTACAGGTACATCACCTGAGTTCTCATTAGGCAGGAGAGACAACCGGGACTTCTCCTAGGCTTCTGCACTGACATCTCTCCTCTTCCTCAGGCCCTTGCTTCTGCCATTAGAAACTGGGCTGGGGACAGTGGAGGAAATTGAACTGGCAGAGCTTTGTTAGGGGAAAATATCTACCTTGATTTCCATCAGATTAAAATGCTTTGTTCCCAATTACTTTCTTTTAATGATAATTAAGTAAAGCCGTTGTATGTATAGATTTGAGCCAAGGCAATCCTTAATTGGCACAGAGGCAGCTCATGTTAAATAATCTTAATAATAATAGCTAAAATTTATTGAGCACTTATTAGGTGACAGACATTGTGCTAGGCACCTCATATACATTTTTCTCATTTAATCTTTATTATAATTCTCACTATTTGGGATCCTTTGGCTCATTCCTCTTGGTAGAACCAGTTATTTTAAATATTTTTAACAGAAATAATGAGAGAGGGACACAGGAGGCTGGGGAAAAAGAAAGTAGGTGGAAGTGAGCTAACCAGCAGAGTGGAAAGACAGAGAATTTAGTATAAACCAGAGTGAGCCAGGCAGTTCCAGGGGCTCATGTGTTTTCCGTGTGTAAGAGGGGTGCCCCCACCCCCTCACACCATGGCCATTGTGGGATTTGGTGGCTGGATTTTGTATAATAGGCTGATGGGACCTGACCCAAGCCCCACAGAGGTGTTTTCTCTCTTTCCACTGTCTCTCAGATTCTCCTCCACCCCCAAAATGAAATAAAAGCATGGTGGAATGCAGTTAGGAAAGCTGGGTACCTGAATTTCTGGCACGATGGGGCCTTTCTCTGCACAGGAGCTGGCGAAGGACGTCAGTGGGGATGGAGAGACGACGGGATTGGGGCGGGCAAAATTGCTCAGGTCACAGCTGGGAATCTCATTTTCCTCATGTCTCATGATGATGGTTTCCATGACAAAGAAGCGATCCCAAGGCAGCCAGAGGGTGTGCTCCTGTGTGATGAAAGGTGCCCGCTCGAACCGCAGGATGATGGAGATGCCACCATTTGTGACCAAGTCAAAGCTGTTTGGAAGGGGAAGGTTGGGAAGGTTGGGAAGGGGTGGGGAGCAGGAAGAGCAGGGACCAGGATGAGAAAGAGAAGAAAGAGACCAAGAAAGGAGAGAAAATTACACCAAAGGGTCTGAGCATTTATTGAGGGAGGCTCTAATGCCTAAAGATTTGACTGCAGCTCCAAACAATGGCAGTGATTTTAGAAAGCAGTTTTCTTTTCCCCATAAAATGATTCACACAGAGAATTTGCTGAAATGAACGGCTATTATGGAGAGCCATTTTCCAGGACACACAAGAACGGACAGTAGTGTTGCTGGTACTCAGGGCCTTTCAACAGTGTCAGAGCTGAAGCCCAGTGAAAAGTCAGGGAATAAAGCAGAGTAAGCCTTGATCTGGGTGTTAGGAACCCCAAACCGGGTCCTGGCTTTGCCTTCAACTTACTGTGTGATCTTGGGTAAGTCAGTTAGCCTCTTTAAAGCTCATTTTTTTTTTCATCTGTGAAATGCAAATGCTCAAATGGATTATTCTTAAGTCTCTAAGATTCTATGACTCCACAGCAATTTCAGCTCTAATTGTGATAGATTACTCAACAAAGACCTTTGCAATGACAAAATAGCTAAGCAGCTTAAAGATGGCTCAATTACAATCACAGTATCTTATAAGTGAAAGAGAAACGAGAAGACTGAGCACCAGCCTCCTAGTTGAGATGAAATCATTGTGGCAGCATCTGGAGAGCTGGCAGCCCAGCCTCTGTTCGTCAGCCTCTGAGGATGATGGGGAGGTCTGAGCAGAAACCTGCCTTCCTATTCCTAGTTCTGTCTTTAATGTGACACCAAATAGGCCTGTTCCATGATGGTCTCCAGGCCTTCCTTGATCCTAGATGATGCCCTTCAAAGCCTTTGTTTCAGGCTTGTGGGGACTGTACAGGCAGAGTCTTCCTTGCCTCACCCCAAAATATCTTGTGCCCAGAAGGGACCCAGCTGAAACATACTGGCAGCTCTGTTTGGTGCTGGCATCTTAACTCCCATCACCTGCAGACAAACCTAGGAAGGCATTTTCCCATTCAAGCCTTGGCATGCACTTTTACTTTCTGAACATCGAAGTAAACTGAGTTTCTTCCTATTTGTACACCCAATGTTTCTGACACTGCCCAGCCCCACAGGGAACCTGTTTTGAGGGTTCTGCAGCCACATGCTTAGATGGCAGATGGACTCACATTATAGACAATGGGAAAAGAAGGCCATGTGTGAACCAAGGCATATCACTAATCCTGCAGGCTAGGTCTGCTGAGCTAAGAAGAGGGCATGGCTTGGCTGATACTTATAGCCCCATGTTCCTCATGCAATAAGACATAAGACTAGGCTGGGTGCAGCGGCTGATGCCTGCAATCCCAGCACTTTGAGAGGCTGAGGTGAGCATATCACCTGAGCCCGGAGTTCGAGACCAGCCTGGTCAACATGGTGAAACCCTGTCTCTACTAAAAATACAAAAACTAACTGGGAGTCGTGGTAGGCGTCTATAGTCCCAGCTACTCAGGAGGCTGAGGCAGGACAATGGCTTGAATCTGGTAGTCAGAGCTTGCAGTGAGCTGAGACTGTATACTCCAAAGTAGGTAATGGAGCAAAAATTTGTCTTAAAAAAAAAAAAGATGTAAGAATAGAATTTTGTGTCTGTTCCCTTCTTAAAAACAGAAAGTTTAAAATCAAGTAATAGCTGAACCACTGGAGAACTTGACGGTCATCTGACCTGGCCCCTCTCCCATCTGATGCATCAGTTCCTTCTACAGAACCACCATCAAGGGCTCATTCAGTTCCTTCTTACACAATTCCAGAGATGAGGGGACTGCTATATCCACAGGAGGGCTGTTCTGTTTTAGGTTAGTTCTGACTGTTAGAACTTTTTTTTTTTTTTTGGAAACTGAATATGGGTCCCTCTCTTTCCAGCTTCTTATTCACTGGGCCTGATTCTATCTGCTGGGGTGACTTCAAACTTATGCGTTCTTTCTGTCACAACCGAGCTGCAGTAGGCATTTTCAAGGGCTATCTTAATAAGCTTTTTTTGGATGGAAAATTCTGGACAGCTCGAACTTCACCTCCTCCATACAGCCTTACCCAGTCCAAATTCTAGCTTCCTCCCTGGGTTCCACCACCCACATGCACTCCTTCACAAAGTCCACATGGCATTGCACTGTAACTGCTTGTTGAGCTCGGTGGCACAGGGACATCAAGTCCTCTGCCTTTTCAGAAACTAGCCCAGGGCTTGATGGTTAAAAGTTGATGGGATAAATGCATGAGTGACACCATCAACTACTCCTAAACTAACAGTTTACTAAACACCCAACGTCCATTCTTATTTGGCCGTTACTGAAGTTAAATCTAAGGTTCAGCTGTGTAGCTCGTGTGAGCGACCTAACGTAGGATCTCATCTTGACCCTGATACATCCAGCATGTGGGAATGGGCCCATTGCTCTAGCTTGCTCTTCTCTCCTCCAGAGACTGCAAGGATTCTGCATGGAACCATCCTGTCCTCCTGCCAAGTTCTGCTCTTGGTAGATGGCATCCCCAGATTTGGGGCTCCAAGCTCCAAAGCCTGACCCTCCACCCTTTACAGGAGCTATCACCCCTTTGCCTGTTCCTCACTCACTCAGGTGAAGAAAGGTGGGCACCACCATTGTTCCATGATAGAGAAACACCAGCGGTGTGTTTATTTTGAATTGAGAATTCAGGTTTTGGTTCTCTAAGAGAATTCCCATCGTTTTGGGGAAATACTCAAAGAACAATTTTTCTGTCACAGAACTGAATTGCATCTGTGCCTTGATAGAGCATTTTTAACTGTCAAAAAGAACTTTAGCCAGACTTACAAGCTCCCTTCATGAGAGGTTGTATATGAGGATGGAGGAAAGACAAACATAAAAAGACATATTCTCAAGGCGGTAAGTAAGCTGGGGGCAGCTAGCCTTGCCAAACGTGTAAGTAGTGGGCTGGGGCTAGGTCTGTTCCTCTGGGAGGGAAACTCTGCTTTAAATATGAATGTGAATGTTACCCCACAGGGAAGGACTGGTTCTCAGATGAAGTCCAAACAGTGTAGGGCCATTCTGGACACTGTTACTTGCTCCATGGGTGACTTATGTCACCTTTCCAAGCCTCAGTTTTCTCATCTGTAAAATGAAGCTGATGATCATAATCATTTGGCAGCGTTACCGATTCTACAGATGAGAAAAACACAGGGCCTCATACATTCCCTTGGCTTTTTCTTTCTTTCCTCCTCTTTCTCCTTCCTCTTTTCCTTTTCCCTTCCCTTTCTTCCTTTTCCCCTTTCTCCCTTTCCTTTCTTCCTTTCCCCCCTTTTCCCTCTCTTTCTTTCTCTCTTTTTCTCCCTCTGTTTCTCTTTTTTTCTTTTTTTGAGAGAGGGTTTCACTGTCACTCAGGCAGGGGTGCAGGGGTGCAGGAGTACAGTGGGGCAATCGTGGCTCACGGAAGCCTAGACCTCCCTGGGCTCGAGCAATCCTCCCACCTCAACCTCCTGGGTTGCTAGGACTACAGGTGCATGTCACCACACCTGGCTAATTTTTGTATATTTTTTTGGTAGAGATAAGGTTTTGCCATGTTGCCCAGGCTGGTCTTCAATTCCTGTGCACAAGTGATCCTCCTACCTTGGCTTCCCAAAGTGCTGGGATTACAGATGTGAGCCACCACACCTGGCCACCAATTTTCAATTCAGTGAGCCTAGTCTGCTTCTCTTGCCTGCTATTCTTTTAGTTTTTCTTCATGACTTCTATTTTCCATCTTTTTAAGCAGCTCTTTGGCTAACTTCTCTGCTACTCCTTTCTGTTTGTAAGGCATGATGTCTGAAATTTCAGCAAGTGTGTGTGTGTGCGTGCGTATGTGCACGCGTGTGTGTGTGTAGGGGTTGGGGGAGCTGGATGTGGGCAAGTATCATGGTGTCTTCCTGGAAAGTGAAGAATACATGCTCCCTGGACTTTCAGTCCACTTGCACACACTATTATTTCCAGACTATCTCTCCTAGTCTTTTTTTTTTTTTTTTTTTTCTCTTTTTAATACTTTTTCCCTTTAATGCATTAACTTACACTTAACAGGACAACAATGAACAGTAGACACAAGAACAGAAAATGAAACACCGCATATTCTCACTCATAGGTGGGTGATGAAAAATGAGAACACATGGACACAGAAAGGGGAGTACTCTCCTAGTCTTAAGGTATGACAGATAAGAAAGAAGGTGAGTTAAGGAAGGGTGGGAGGGCAGTGACACCTGTTCACGTATAACAAACAAAGATTTTTGGACACTAAGAGAACAGTGATAACTTTCCCACACATTATGCAGTGGCTGAGTTGGGAAGAAAATGTCAGCCCCAAAATGCATTGGTAAGAACTGATCTGAAACTCAAGCTCTGTGGCAGCAATTCTGGGTACTGTGATGTAATTTAGGAGCCTGATGCAGGAAACACAGCTGATTATTTAGCTCCATGCTCTCAACGGGCAGTAGATATTGTAGAGGAAGGACAAACAAGAAAAATTGGGAGGTGTCAGAGAGTGAACTTTCCCCAAAGGCCACCGAACTTATGCCACACTCTGTGTTTTTTGAATTTACTCTAACCAACCACAACATGGCATAAGGACTGACGATTTGCCATCTCACAGGAGTGACTGGCAAGTTCCATGGCAAAAAAAAAAAAAAGGCGGTCCTTAGAGGCTCCTTTTGGATGAATGTTTTACAGCAGGTAATAATGTGGTCCAAATACCTGTTGCCTAGGAGGCTCACATCTGCCATTTTCATACAGCAGGCAGCATCCTTCAGGCTGTAGTGGGGAGTCTTCATGAGGGCCTTCCTGGGTTGGAAGGTGTACAGGGTAGGGAACAGTGGCCTGGCCTGGCCAGTTTATCCCTGAGGACGGGCCACCAACCTCTTCCAGCTGGGCCTCTTCCTATTCACATTGAGTGAGAGGCAGGGAGGGGGCACCCCATGCCAAGCTTGCCAACCCCATCTAAGAGGCACACATGTCTACAAGCAGATGAGCCTCTACTTCATTATCACCTCGGCCGGGACATGTTCACATCTGATATTGGATTAAAGAGGTGCTAAAATCAATCAAGTTGGAGCATAATTTCCAACACAGAGTGAAAATCAACCTTATGGGCCCACGCTCAGCCAGATGGACTGCCACCACCTGGTTTTATTAAAAATAGAGGACTTGTCACCACTGACAGCCTAAATATTCCACTTTCCTCCTTTGTTTTCCCTTTTCTCTAAAATATTCTCATTGCCTGCCCGGTCACCATCACCTTCTCAGTCAATAATTTGTAATTTTAACAAACAGCTGATATTTATTGTATACTTATTATGTGTCAGACACTGGAAATATGGCAATGAATCAAAGTGGGGGTGGGGAACTAAGATTTATCAAACACATACTATGTGCCAGGTGCTTCCCCATCCTGGTCATCTAACCCTCAAAACCAATCTGTGAGATAAACAGCATTAGGGCCATTTAACAGATGAAGCTGAGATACAGAGAGGTAAGGAGAGTTATCCTAGGACACACAGCAGGTGGGAGAGCTAGGGCTATTAAGGAAGCTTTACTTCATTCGGCTGATGGTTCTTAGAGGAACTCAAAAGTCAGAATTCTGTCATCACCCAAATGGCTTGCATAGATCTAAGCAGCTGCAGGATGGAAACCACACAAAAGGAATGGCTGAGATTTCTCAAGCTGTCTGTTCTGTAGAAAGTGGTTCACAAGACAGTGTTTTATATCACGAGTCATGGAGCAGGATGATACGTATAAGGTACCCTCTCCTTACTCTGAGAACCAAATGAGAAGAAAATGCTAAATCTACAGTCAAAGGGACACAGGCCAGAGTCAGGTACAAGGTCATACAATTAGTAATTTGCAGAGCTGGGCATATGAATTCAGGGCCTCTGAATCCAAGACCCATCCTTTTACCACTTTATCAGTCCAGCAGCAGCTATATGATAAGAACACAAGAGCAGGACCTTTACTCTTTCTCGCTCAAAGAAGGTTCCTACCTGCCATCTTGCCTGCTGACTGTATATCCAAAGAGAGGGTTATTGACAAAACTGATGTTCACACCAACCAAGGGGGTTCCATCTGATGTCATCACTTGACCACGGATAACACAAGCATGCCTGTGGGAAGAGAAGAGAGAATAAACATGATATACCTTTCACAGTCACGGCCCTGGCTGGCAGGGAACCCCGAGAGGCCAGAAGACAGAAAATCAGTCACACAGACACATCTTGTACCCAGGGGCTCATGGTATTCACTCAAGATACATAATCATCTTTAAAAATATATAACCTCAATTTAAGGCATCAAAGTGTCCTTGAGATAACTGCTATTGGGAGGTGTTTTTAATGATCTCACTTGGAGGTTATTTTCTAGTTATATTATATTATGCTGTATGGTGATAAAGCTGATTGCAGAGGGCAATATCGCCTAGTTCTGTGTGTGAATGTGGGGTTCAATGATCTGGGTTCAAATCCTGACTCTGTTACTTCCTAGTTTTCTGAACTTCAGTAGGCATGTGACAGTTCTTTGAGTCTTTGTTTTTTCATGCTGGCATAGGGCAAACTCCACAAATGGCAATGGCTATTAATGTCACTAACAGTCTTATTAGAAGTGAACGTACAAAAAAGTGAGCATGATAGAAGATAGTTCCTTTCATCTAGCATTCAAGACAGGAGAATGCTAGCATGCTCTTGGAGTGAGTTTTGGAATCTCTCTAATATCCCTCCTCCAAGTCTTACTCTATATTTTAGGCAAGAAATTACCTGCTTTTCCCAAACTTACCAGGCGAATGTTGCTTACTGCCTCTGTGCCTGTGCAATGTTCTTCTATCTGCCTAAAATACCTTTCCTGTACGCTTCTCCCGACATTCTCACCCTTAAAGACCCAACTATTAGTGACACCTCTTCCTTGAAGCCTTTCTTGACGGCCCTAATCAGAACTAGGTCCTCTCTCCCACAAAACCTGATGCAGACACCTTGATATCACTACAAAACCATACACGTTCCTCCCTTCCACTAGATCCTGAGCTCTTTGAGGGCAGGGATAAGGTTTCTTTCTCTCTCCCCACAGTGCCTGAACTATGCCTAACAAATCCTAGGTTGCCATTAAAAAACATGGTGGTTAAGCAAACACATGGGACCATTAGAGATCATCTACAATGATGCACTTTCGAATATTCCATAAACAGAAATGTTTGGGTAGATGACACTTTATAAGGACTGCAAAGCGGAAAACAAATGAAAATATCTGCCTTGGATGAAGTTGGGGTGGAGGGTTCCTCTCTCTCAGGGTGATTCTGAAGGCAACTCTGTGGAGTCTCTGTGTCTGGAGAAGTCTGTTGTAAGATCCCTGAGTTAGTGGAACTTTCTCATTGTATAGAAGAGGAGACTGGGTTCCAGAGAGGTTATATTACGTGCCCAAAGCTCCACAGAAAGGAGGTGACGGAGCCAGGACTTGAATCTGGGCCTCACCTCTCTGAGTCCTACTCTAACCAGTCACTCGCCACTGACCATGGGTGGAAATGAAGACACTGGCTGGTCCGACGTCCTCAGGGATCTGTGCACTGGGGAGAAAGCCCTCGCTGAAAGACATCTGAGGCAAAAATGCAGTTGCTGCGCACCACATAACCTTCTCTATTCACCTCAGTTGAGAAGTCTTTTTCTTTTGGCCTACAGAAGAGCTACCGATGAGGCCCATGGGCATTTATTTAAAAAAGACCTCAAATTCAGTCCCTGCTGTATGAGGTACCCACACCTTACCTTCCTAGAGTGATAAACTTTTCTCTGTTGGATGAGAAAAGCAATTAACACCAGGCTTGTAAAGCAGCTGGTCTCACTAGTGTCAGCTTGTCCTTTCTGAAGGCAAGAACAACTACCCACAATGCACCAGACTCCCCACCCCATCCCACCCTCCTCACCTCACTCCACACAATCTGGTTAATGCTAATTCAGTCAGTGGTTTCCTTCCGAGGCCCTTGGTCTAAATGCAATTACATGGCAAACAAGTTAAGCGGGTGAGGCTTAGCAAAGACTTTCAGTCCTGCTCTGAAGGTCTTCCAATGTATTTACGTGAAATTATCTCTCTGCTAATGGGTAAGATTTATTCCACCGATTGTATTCATTTGGTTCTGAGAGATGTTTTCCTTAATAGAGGACAATTGAATTTTGTATTGCTGGAACTCTGTCCTTCCAGAGAAGGACTAAGAGATCGCATCTCCTGATGCTGGCCACCATCCAGCCTTCTCCTGATATATGTGTCTCTGGATTCTGCCTGGACAGTAACCAACCCTGGGGGGATGGCTTCCTTTCTGGGGCTATCCTGGCTGCTGCCCCTCAGACACATGCCTGCCAGCCTCCTCTGATTAATCTCTCTTTGGGGATTTCCTGATAATTGGGAAACATTGAATTGGCACCATTTGGCTATCATGTAGCCTCCAACTCAGCAAGCCAGAGCAGATGCAAGTTTAGCCTGGGCTCCCATGGATTGCTTTTGGATTCTGGGGAAGATTAGGTTGACTCCCTGTATGCCAATAGGCCATAGAAGCCTCTTGCCAACACAGGCATTTGGCTCAGGAATTCAGTCCTGGAGAAAAACATTTCCATCCCTGCTCTGTTTTCATGATTTTCAGTTGTCAGGAAAGCCCAGTTTAATATAAAGCCTTCCCTGGATAAAGAAGATGGAAAGCCAGCTCAGTGGGGGCCTTTGAATTGTGTCTTGTGCCACATGCATTTGTCCTGGGAGGTTTGGAAAGATGTGAGTGCCGGGCTTCCCAATGCTTGCTTTCTGCATCCATTTATTTAATGGATATTATCAGTGGTGTGCTGGCAAATGCTTAATGACAGACTTTCAAAAAAAAAAAGAAAAGAAAAGAAAAGAAAAGAAAACCAGCTTTAATTTGTAGCGTTTGCTCATTTCTGTGGTGTAAATACTCTCATCACGGCTATTTTCAAGCTACCAATGAGATGCCACTGAACAGAGTTGGGAAGATATGCACAGGAGGATGCCATTATATGCTACTGCCACCATGGAGACCCAACAGTTCTGAGTAACCTCAAGAGCAAACGTAACATCAAACATGGCAAAACAATTAGAAAGTCATAAGTTTTGAGTATTTATTACCTTTGTTTTTAATATACCTTATTTAATTTTATATAATTTAATTTTTAATAGTGGCTGTGTTTAACAACCAGCTTGCAGAATTTCTGAATACTTAATAATCAGTTCTTGCAAACTGGTCCAAGCTGGCTTCTGCATACCTACCACTGGAACACTGACCCTACACTGAGGGTTTGGCACTTGCTCAGTGCTGGAGATGTGGCTTAGAAATAGCTGCTGCTTTGAATATAGAACTCTGCAATGGAAGACTGCCTTGGTGGAAAACCATTAACATGGGAGCAAATCATTGTCACCAGCTTGGCTTCCCAGCTAGCTCATATGATCCTCTACTTGACATGATTTGCTTCCTCTTGGTCGCTGTCTTGGTGTAATGGAATTTTGGGCTGTTATTTTCTACTCATCCTTAGAGTCTCATCCAAGCTATCATCACCTCAGTGAGGTTATCACCAGCTTTTCCTGACACAATGCATCACCCCCTCCTCTGGGCTTTTATATACCTTATAAGTATCTTGCTAATGTCTGATGGTCATGTGTTTATATTGTTCGCATTTATATAGCCATTTCACATGTTTACATGTGAGCCAGAGCAGGGCTGGACCACATGTCCAGCGGGTAAGCATGGGATGCTGCTCTCACAGTGTTTGGTAAATGAAAAACAATCAGGTACCCGAAAGACAGAAAACAAATTGCTCAAGGTCACCCAGAAAGGAATTCACTTGGCTGACCTGACATTAAAGCTAGGTCTTCTCACTTCTGAGGCCTTACTCTTACGACTGTGTTATGTACCTGCAGTCACTAAAATTCCTTTAATTTCACAAAAAACCAGGCACCTACTATGAGCCAGCTTCTGTGTTAGGTGCTGACTTCCAGGAATGTATGAATTACAGTCTCCACTTACTTGCTAGAGCTCCCAAAAGCCAACGTGAAATGCCCCCGTGTAGTTGTCTCTGACACCAGTGAATCAACACATGGGTTTGGCATATGTCAGGCAGCTGGGATATAAAACAACCAATTAGGCTAGGTGAACTCTGCCAGGAGGGAGCGCTTGTGCCAAGCCAAGGGTGGTGTTGAACATACTGGCATGAATCTAACCAGACACTCGGGGCCTGACTGAGGTGCCTGCCCTTGCTGATGCCAACAAGGGTGAAGACGCTTGACTGCTTCCTGAGGAGAGTGACAAGGTTTGGGATCAGCAGAAGAATCTGCTGGAGGGACAAAAGCACTCCAAAATAAAATCAAGCAAATAAAAAGCCACCCTCAACTGTCGCTCAGGGAAGTGTGGTAGGGCTCTGGTGGCGACAGAACTGGGCTGGGAGTCACAGTTCCCAGTTCTGACTCTGGGAACTAACTGTATGCTTTTGGAGTCATCTGACCTCTCTGAACCTCCCTCCTCCCATCTGTCAAATGCAGGCTGAAGTTTTTCACAACATTGTATAAAACAGAATCCAACATACGTTTAAGAATTTATAACTGTTTTAATCTCATACTACCCAATCCAACTAAAGCAGCCTGATTATACGTGGCTTCAGAATCCTAATGGAGCTCATGCAATATTTATCACTAAATTGTTCCCTCTCTCTGGAAACTTCCACCTCTCTAAGAGCATTCACCAAGCGGTATACACCACTCCTGCTCCTTCTCAGCTACTCCTCATGAACTCTGAGTGCTGCTGTTCTGCCAGGACAATCTTCCCCTCAGCAGAACATGAGCTCCTTGAAGACAGGGACCAACCACATGTCCCTCACTGCTATATTCCCAGGATTGATCATGGCTGATGGTCACTTCTGAATGAACAGAAGGAAATCTTCTCTGAAACAGGTGTTTGCTCTGGAATTTGAATGCAGAGCATAGAGTAAGCTCTTAAAACATGATTTACTAAATGAATAAAGAACTTACGTGCTTCTGTTACATAAGGTGAGGGTGATGTTAGAGAACTTTGAGCTACTTGACCTTGACAGGGATATAGTTAGAGAACCCAGGGCTGCAAGGGCTGTGCCCTTTC